GCCTGGTTAGCGAGGTTTTGGAGGGTACGATCGTTTTTCTGTCACACACGAGTATACCTTATTTTTTTTGTTTGCCGTAATGGCTGAAGACAAGGTTATAATCGAAAGGTTCAATGGTTCTGATTTTAGCTGGTGGAAAATGCAATTAGAAGCATTGCTATGTCAGAAAGACTTGGACGTGGTACTCGGAGACAAACCGGAGAAAATGGAAAAAAGCTGCTGAAGATGCGTGGAACTCAAAGGACAAGAAAGCCAAGGCGGTTATTACATTGTCGTTGACGAAGAGCGTTGCTTTCAACATCATAAATGAAACCACGACGCGTTGTATGATGGAGGCTCTGTCAAATATGTATGAGAAACCATCGGCGGCTAACAAGGTGTTCTTGATGAGGGAGTTGTTCACTACAAGGATGAATGAGGAAGGCTCAGTTACGGTTCACATTAACAATCTAAATTTAATTCTGTCCAGATTATCATCTGTGGGAATTAAATTTGATAACGAGACTCAAGCATCACTGCTACTAGCTTCTCTACCTGATAGCTGGTCCGGAACAGTTACTGCTGTTACGAGTTCCGTGGGGACCAGTGGTATGACTTTTGAAGGGGTTAGAGATTTGGTTCTTGGCGAAGATATCAGACGCAAGAATCAAGGTGGATCTTCTTCTTCTGAGTTATTAAATATCGGAAGAGGGAGAGGGAATAGCAGGAATAGTGGAAGCAGTGGGAGTCGGGGAAGAAGTTCATCTAGAACTAGGAAGAATGTGAAGTGCTGGAACTGCCAGGAGGTGGGACATGTTAAGAGTCAATGTCCAAAGAAAGAATTGAACATTACCGGTGCTGAGAGTGTGTCTGAGGATGATGCATTGTTACTCAGTATGGAAAGTTCTGTAGACTCTTGGGTCATGGATTCAGGGGCTTCGTTTCACGCCATGGACAACGGGGAAACGATGGTGAATTTGAAAGAAGGAGATTTTGGAAAGGTACGTTTGGCAAATGACGAGATGCTTCAGATAACGGGCATGGGAGATATTGATTTGGTTACTTCATTAGGAACTACATGGAGCCTGAAGGATGTCAGGGTGATTCCGGAGCTGAAGAAGAAATTGATTTCTGTTGGTCAGCTGGATAAACAAGGACTGGAAGTAAGGTTTGGAAATGGTAAATGAAGGGTGGTCAATGGTGATCTGGTGATTGCTCGTGGTATGAAGTGTGGGTCATTGTATATGGTTGAGGTACCTGCTGAGGGAAGTATGACCGTCCCTGTTAAACAAGACAAAATCTGGTTCGCTAAATCTACGGCTAAGAGAGTTCATTTTGCAAACATGAATTCTGGAGCCAAAGAGATGTTAGCTGAACGAGTTCGAAAGTCTAAACCATTCAGGGGATTCTGTGACAGTGGGAGCACGGGACGTGTTTCGGGTACAGTTACAAAGAGCCGTTGGGTTTGAAGACTAAGACTGAAAATTCTCTCCTGTTGAATGTTTGCAAAGTTGGGAGAGTGTTAGTGGTCCTCGGTGTATCTCTGGATCTGGTGGAGTGTCCAAACCGGTTGAGACAGAGGATGAGTTGGTGGCGGGATTAGCCACGGCTGAGTTGGAGCTAGTGGGAGCTTCAACTGGCCCTTCTAGTAATTGATGATGAGGGGCGGCTGCAACTAGAGAAATCAGACTAAGTTTTAGCTTGTTCTTTGGAACTGGAAGCCTAAAAGGACTTGGTTGTTTTTTAAGATTACTGGAGTAATTGAGAGTTGAATGGCGGAGAAAAGCTAAAGTTGTTCAAGCCTCTAAGTGGGAGATTGTTAAGATTTATGGAGTCTTGAATAAATTGACAAGTTCCTAAGAATTCAAGGGCAATAAATGAAACTTGTAAATTAAAACAATTGAATATTGAATTGGACGCACTATCAATTGTTTAATAATATTGAAGTGGACGGCGGCTCTATTTTGGACGGCTAAAGAAATCAACGCATTCTTTTTTTCAAACTTTGCGGCATATATATATTCTAGTCAAATATAGCGGCAATTTGTGTAAACAAAAGAAAAAGGCTTACGGTTCTCTCCTATATATATATATATATATATATATATATATATATATATATATATATATATATATATATATATATATATATATATATATATATATATATATATATATATGAATTGTAAGAAGAGCGATGTAGCGTAGAACAACAAAAGTGCTGAGTGATATTACCATTTGTAATCTTATAGTGAGTTAATATAAAATCTAGTTGCGCCCGTGGACGTAGGATTTACACCGAATCCGAACCACGTAAAATCCTTGTGTTCCTTCTTGCTTTATTTCCTTCGTGTGTTTGTGTGTGTGATAGTGTGTTTCCGCTGCGTGTACCCGATCTGATTCCTAACAGCTTAATATTAATGAGGAGTTGTATTTGAGTGACAAATGTCAAAAGAGATTAAAACTATTCTTTTATTAGAATAGGATATATATATATATATATATATATATATATATATATATATATATATATATATATATATATTATCATTTATGAACACTTGAATAACTTGTACACTTGTATAAACGTAAAAGCACTATCTTAGCTTATTTTATTTCAACAAATTAAAAATAAACATCCAAACGTCAAATAAATGAACATGTTAGAATCAAGACAGATATAAGATTAAAATAACAAATAACACCATTAGACAGTTTTTTAATGCCTGGCTGCCAACAAAGAATACGTTGTACCTTATACAGTTATAAAATTTATTTTTTTAGATGATAATTTCAAAGGAACCTAATTTCAAAACTTCAAGCCAAGTCAAAACTGTTATTGTGCATAAAAACGTTGATACCAATTTAAAGGATTCAAAATGAAAAAAAATCCTACATTTTATTCAAAATTTGAGTAACAAAACAACATTTAAAAAATATTATATATTGATATAAAAGTATTTATTAATACATAGTTGAATAAAAGGTGTGCACAAAATTCGGTCCTGAACCGGTCCTAGATCGGTCCTAAGCCAGTCCTTTTTTTCTAGATTGGTCTTTTTTTGGACCGGTCCCAATCGGTCCTCAGTCGGTCCTTTTTCGGTCCCGTCCTTTTTTGGATCGATTTCGGATCGGTCTTTTTTCGGATTGGTTTCGCTCTAAACTAGTTCGATACCGGTCTTTTTCGGTTTGAATTCAGATTTTTTTTCGGGTTCGATTGTGGATTTTTTTCGGGTTTGGTTTCGGTTCGGTCTTTTTTCGGATCGGTTTCGCTCTAAACTTCAAGCTTTGTAGTGTAAATTTAGAGACATTTTGAGAAAGAGATAGCATTTGAGGTGAGAAAATGGTTGGATATGAATGATTATTTATAATGTAAAAAAATATATAGCCATTATCAAAGGATTATGGCTGTTTGTTTATCTAGCCATTATGAATTTGTGATGTTATTGCCAAAAGCAAGTCAGTGAAAAGTAAGAAATATCATTTATAGTTTGTAGCCTTTTAAGTAATTTAGTATTATAGATTAAAAAAACCAAAGGAAGGGAACTTGTCCCACATTGGTTGTGTAAAGAAAAAAAAAAGCAAAGTTTTTAGCATTATAAAATGGGAAGGAAGGATTGCTTTCTAAAGACACGCAGCAAGTGAAACAAAAGAATTGCGTAGTTGGTGGCCTGTTGCTTAAATGGGCTACAAAGAATATTAGGCTTTTCAGTTATCACTTTATGAAGCGTAGGACCGGTTGGACAGGCTTGGTCCAAAGATTAGATTGGTTCATTTTAGAACCGGTTCATTGTGGGACTGGTTTTAAGACTAGCCTAGGACTGCCACGTATTCATTTTTAAGAACCGATATAGGCTTTCAGTTTAGACTGTTAATGGACTGACTGGTCTAGGACTGATTAAGGACCTGTTCAGTTCATAATACTATTTTTTGGATTGGTTTAGACCGTTTCTTCTGTCCACCTCTACGTCCACATATATTTTAGAGAAAATTACAAATATAACCAAAATCGTTAATTATTTTTTAGAAAATAGTAAAAAAAAACTCAAATTACAAAAATAGCCATAAAAATCGCAGATGGATTAAACCCATCTGCGATTTCATCAAGCCATCTGCGAACGTACAAGTCGCTAAAGCACATGGATTAAACCCATCTGCGATTTCATCAAGCCATCTGCGAACGTACAAGTCGCTAAAACACATCCGTGCTTTAGCGACTTGTACGTTCGCAGATGATTTTTTTTGGTATAAATAAGGGGTACAAGTGACAAAAATCGCAGATGAACTAAGTTCATCTGCGATTTTGTTTTTTTTTTTTTTTTTTTTTTTTTTTTTTTTTATAATTTTCACTACAAAATTGATAGGGTTTGACTAGGAAATAACCATATTATATATAGATTCTTGCAAAAAATTATCACTTTTGTTGTTATTTATTTGAAAAATTTGTTTAAAATCATTTAAATAAAATGAATGAATATTTGTTTTGTCAAATCGTCCATAGTGCTTCCAGAGAGAGAGAGAGAGAGAGTTCTCCAACAAAAAGTGTGAAAAATGAAACAAACAAAAAAAATTACGTTTTTATAGCTGCAAAAAAGGTGAAATCGCAGATGGAATATCAAATAGCAGATGGAACAGTCCATCTGCAAACGTACAAGTCGCTAAAACATGGATGTGCTTTAGCGACTTGTACGTTCGCCGATGGCTTTGTCAAATCACAGATGGACTTAATCCGTCTGCGATTTTACTGCGATTTTACTGGCTATTTTTGTAATTGGGGTTTTTTTTTGGCTATTTTCTACAAAGTAATTAAATGTTTTGGTTATATTTGTAATTTTCTCTATATTTTATAGGGTCAAATTAATTAGGGCATTCTCTTCGGGTGTTATACTTGTTAATTACTATGTCCACGTCGTATCTTTCTCTCGGTGAAAAGTGAAAATTCAGCATATTTGAAAGTCTCTCATATCGCAAAGAATAGATTTCATGCGTATTAAGGTATGCAAACATAATAAATATATAATACACAATTTATTTATTTTCTAAAAAAAAACCTGTAGGAAAGATTTAAAGGTATGCAATCGAGTCGGGAGTCGTGAAAGGGAATCTGTTGTCCGAATTCAGCAGCTCGAAAAGGCTTTTCCCTGTTCATGTTCTTTTAGCTTGCACTATCGATGGTAAGGAGTATAGTCATAGACACGTTCATGTTTTGCTGCCCCTCCTCTGCTTCTTGTTCTTGTGTTTGTTGAACGTTGATGCTCTCCAACTGTTTGTACAAATGCCTGACCTACATTTTGGTGTTTCGATCTCAGCTAATTTGATTTCAGCTTGGTTACCAAGTTCCCGTCTAGCTTGCTTGCTTAATTTCTTCTTGTGGTTCTGGTCTCTTGGGCTTACTTTACAATTTACATGCCTCGCTTGGTTTTGCTGCTGCATAAAAGTAAACTATTTTCTGGGGGGTGGGGTCAGTCTTATATGATTTCATATTTTCTCCTTGTACTTCTCGTCAAAGAGAGTGGTACTGGTGCCCCTTATATGATTTCAAATGTTATTGATAAAACTTACTAATACATAATGGCAAGTGAGAAACCAGATTTTGTTTTGCATCTGAATACCCCATTTTAACAAGTTAAATAAATCTGTTTCAAGGTAGTCAGAGTTTAGAATCCGTAAGTGCTTGAAAAGATTGCATACCTTTTTTTTCCCCTCTTTTTCTTCACAGAGGTGGGGATGCATCGTCATGATGCATATAAAGAACTAATTTTTGAATAATGGATTGACAGATGAAGCACATGAAGCCGCTGAGTTTGTACCAGGTGTTGCTGAAGCCGCCTGCTGTAGGACGAGGGCGATTGCTTGGTTTAGATGTTGGTGATAAGTATGTTGGCCTGGCGGTTTCAGATTTTAACAATAAAGTTGCTTCACCTTTGAGGTATGCTATCAACATGTTTCTCATAAATGCTTCTTCTATATTGATTGGGCTTTCTTTTTTATGGTTATAAAGTCACTCTTCCTTCCAATTTATGTTTCATACTTGCTTGTAATATGCATGAGCATGAGATAATAGAGTATGTTGTTTTCATATGTTGCAGTGTCCTGGTTAGGAAGAAAAGCAATATTGGTTTGATGGCTATTGATTTTGAATTTCTGGTTAGTTTGAACCCAACCAAAATGCTCTCTTTTGCTCCTTATTATAGTCACAAGGGAGTAAGCTTTTTGTTATTATAAAGACTACTGTTTTACTTTATTTGGGATCATCGAGTAAACTGAGGGTTTATTTTATTCTTGTTTTTGTGTGCAGATATCAAAACTGTCTTTGTCAGCTTTTATTGTTGGGTGCCCATATGATAGACAAAGAAACTGCCCAGAAGTAAGGGGTTTTTTAATCTAGAAAATTTATTCACATGTGTAATTTATGACTGAATTTGTTCACTTGTGTTAGGCTACCCAAGTGAAAATATTTATTGACGGCCTTTGTAAAACGGGAAAACTTGAAGGTGTTCGATATACATTTTGGGACGAGTGCTTCACGTCAAAGGTGTAATAAAATATTCACATCCCCTATTTTCTATTGAACAATATATCTATTATTTTTTTGTCATTTATCTCACAAATGTTGGCTTATTCTTGAAATTTTGAATGTTGTCACAATGAAAATTGAGTCGGTAACAGAATGTGGATCTATTGTTGGAGCCACTGAAATTCTCCACAGTGGAAGCGAAAACAATAAACGACAAATTTGCTGCTGTTGGAATACTGCAGGTATTCAAATTACGCCTTTTTTTTTTTTTTTTTTTTTTTTTTTTTTTTTTTTTAAACTCATAATATAATACGGTTGTTGAACAGGAGAATAAAGCATTATCATGTTGATGTTATTCTTAAAGAATACTAATCTAAAATTGGAATTCATTAGTTATTTATGGGTGTTTGGCAGGGATATCTGGATTATGTTAACAGGATTGTGGAGACAGAGGAAAGCCAATAAACATCCCTATCCCTCTCTCTTGTGGACAATCACTATGATGTTTTAATATTTAATGCAAATCCTACAATGTGGGTTGCATTTCAACTTTGAAATGTAATGTCATTAGTGTAGTTATAGTTTAGATCATACTAGTAGCTTTGTGTGGTCTGATTATTGTAGTTCATCTTCAACAATTATGTATAGGTAGATATCTCAAGGCATATGGAAGGTCTTATTTAATTAATTAATTTGAACGTATGAAGTTTATTGTGGGTCTCTTTTGTATTTTGATAAAAGCTACTGAAGTAAACGAACTATTAATTGCATTTTCATATAACTTCGTGGAAAATACCAAAATGACCATGGGTAATTATTGTCTTAATGTCTCTCCGTCTCTCTCCTAACAGGCAGCTGAAAGGACAAAACGTGGAAAACGAAAAGCCTCTCTCTTGTTTTATAAGACGTATCTCATGCATTGATCACCTTCAGGTATGCTAACCTACTTCCAAATATGGGTTCTTCAATGGGTATGTGGTATTCTTCAATCTTCATTGAGATTAGTTTTCTTTAGATAAAATGGGTGAATGAAAAGTTGAGACTCTTTATGAATTGCAGGTTCATACAAGCTAAATACAAGTGGTGTTAGCAGTGATGACCAGGGATCAAGCGGATATGGAGGAATCTTGAGGGACGAAAATGGGTGCTGGATCAGAGGGTTTACAGGGTCATCTTGGAACTGGTTCAATGTGCATTGAAGCTGAATTATTGGCCATTTTAAAAGGAGTCGACTTAATTGATAGCTTAAGATTACAAAACACCACATTGGAAACTGATTCTTTAGATGCTTTCAAAGCACTTGAGAAACCTGATATGTATACAAAAACGTCGGTTTGGATGGCAAAAATCTTAGATTGCCTAAAGCTGGTCAAGAAAAACGAAATTACTGTCAGTTCCATAACTTCTGAAGAAAACAAGTGTGCAAGGTTTCTTGCACAGCTTGCCATGGATGAAGAAGAAGAAGATGATGATGATTATGCAGATGTACTTGATCCTCCTCCAGGCATTGAAAGTCTCATTATGCCTGATAAGCCCAAATTGTCCAATGATTAGACTTAGTTATTTGTTGGTTAAATGGTATTTTTTTTTCTTCTGGGAAGATGTTATGTGTAATGTGTTTTGATTCTCATGAAATCTGGATTCTGACTTTTCTACATCTTGGTTTCAATCACATTTGGCCATGCTTCGTAGGAATTAAATGTGTTTCAAGACCATAGCCATGTTTTTTGTTAATCCCTTTTAATCTTTTCACATTAATGTTTTTAAGTTGTATGTGCACTTTTAATTGGATTAAGCATAGAACTAATGTTAAAGTTGATAGATTGGCTTCGGTGGTGTTGTCTCCCATTTCAAAGGTTTTTTTTTTAATTGGTTTGAGCTCCTTGTTTGTGCCTTTTTATTTTGTTTAATGGTATTTTGCTTACCGTTAAAAAGACCCACAATCAACTAGTATATATATTTATTAAAAGGAAAATGAAATATTAAATTAAATGCAACAATGTTTTCTTTATTTCCATTATATAAAGTAGCATTTACTGTAGCTATAAGGATAATTTAATAAAGATAAAAAAATTCAAAAGGTAAAATGTTAGTTTTGAAGTTCTAATAAAATAAAGTGACAAATCAAAACAAAATTATATAAAAAAAATTCACTTTTAAATTTTGACCAACTATATATAATATAATATTTGTCATAATTTAAAGATGAAATCACATAGTTGGTCCTTGTGGTTTACCAGATTTAATACTTTGAGAACTATGAAAAATATCGTTTGGTCCATGTGGTTTCCAAAATTTCTACATTTGGTTCTTTTTTGCAATGTCCTTCGATTTTAGATGTTAGTCTTGTCAATGTGGCCCTTACACGAGGGTATATCCATCATTTCACTATGCCAACGTTCATCAACTTAGTTTAAAGTCTTCCTCCCTAGATGACAAGCAATTTCATCATTTCTCTTATTCCCAACCCTTTCAACCTTTCTTTTCTTCCCTATCTCTTTCTAGCAGACGGAAAATGGTTTTGTGTTTTTGTGGAAGGCTAGTCATTGTCGTAACCTTGTGGACATACCTAAATCCTGAAAGGAGGTTATGGTCATGCTCCACATGACCACACCTCAATCAAGTTGTAGATTCATTAATTGGTTTGACCCCCTATGTGTCGTAGGGCACTTGTTGGGATTCTAGGTCTGTTACAACCAAAATATTTCCTTGAAGAAACCTAAAAAAAAAATACAAGGAAGCATGGTGTTGAATTTTTTCTTGTTATGAGTTGGGTTTTTTTTGTTCTATGTTAGTAAAAAGTGAAGGAAGAAACTATCAAGGGGGATTATTCATTTGTTTTGCATTTTGGTCTATGTATGTAATGTGTTATGATATTCTTGTTTGTAGTGGTTTAGTGTTATAAGGGACAAATTGAATTGTAACAACCCAAAATCACAGTAAAATTTTTCATTTTTAAATTACGAGAAATCATCGTTTTCAAACAAAACCCATATCAAAACCAAGTATCAACTACAAATATCCCAAGATCATTGTATCACAAAATCTTCCAGAAACATGTTGTCGAAGGATATCTACGCTCACGCCTTTGCTTTCCGCTGATCATCTGAAGTACCTGGAACCTTATAACAATCAAACTGTAATCACGAAGCTTAGTGAGTTCCCCCAAAATACCACCATACAAACATATAACATATACAATCATGCATGCTGGGTCCAATCAGTCATCAGACTGGAATACCCTTGGAGTCCACAACCATCGGGCTAGATTACCCCTGGCCCAATTAGTCACCATACTGGAATGCCTCGACCCAGTCAGTTATCAGACTAGAATACCAATATGCAATGGGTCTAATCAGTCATCGAACTGGAATACCCTCAGGTACGCCCCACGTACATACGTCCAAGATAATTCCTTCCTTTAGTGCTTAATCCATTAAACCTTTTGTCCAGAGCTCAGATCTAGACTCAAAACATCGACTTAAGTCATAAAGTTTCCACCTTTATGACTTTCTATGACTATACAAGGTCCAAAAGCTAAAACCCTAACTTATTTATCCATTAAGACATCTTAACTCTTGCATGGAAGGACCGAGATCACATTTTTATGGTTCCTAATAGCTCCATAATGGATAAAGTTTCCAACTTTATCCATTTGAATGGTCCAAGCAACCAAGATCTAGCCTTTTAAGTTTCACAGGGACCAGAAGCACGCCTTTCTTACTTAATCCATTAAGTCCAAGTTTCCAACATTTAGATCTGAATCAAAATGATATTTAGATGGATAAAGTTTCCAACTTTATCCATAACAAGGTTACAAACTTTCAAGATCTAAACTTTATGCACTAAAGTGACCAAAAGCTCATAACATCCAAAACTAGCTAGATCTAACAAATGCATCATCAAGATTCAAGCTTTATACCTCTTGTTCAAAGATCAAGGTGAACAAGGTCTGGATCTACAAGTTCCAATGCAACCAACACTTCTCCTATGATCTCTTTCTTCTCCAAGATGCTCCAAGAACACTCCAAAGCACTTAAAAAACTCAAGGATCTCACAAATGGGGCTAAGGTTTTGATATTAGGGTTAGAGAGGATGGAGGCTGAAAAAAATAAGAGTTTGGGGATGTTAAGGAGCTTAAATAGGGCTCATAATCCCGAAATTAGGTTTTGGGTTCTGATTGCGTACGCCCAGCGTACTAGGTTGATCCCCCACGATCATCCATTGCCTAGTACGCCCAACGTACTCGACTTAGCCCAAAACCTTCCTAACTTGAAACGATCATAACTTTTTTGTTTCAACTTCGTTTTCGACGATCTTTATATCCACGAAAAGGTATTGAAGAGCCCCACAATATTATCTAGATATATTGGACTAAAAACTTCCTGAAAAAAATCCATATTTCATGCAAAAAGTCCGAAATATCACTTTTTCTGTTTAACCCTTTGACTCCAACACAAACCACGGGCTTGGATCGCCTAACCAATATTATCAACATCTAATAGGATCTAAACCCTATTCCCTTGAAGCCCAAGGCCTTTACTTGATCCATTTATTATCTATAATCCTGAAATCAGAAACTTCCCGAAACAGGATATTACAACTCTCCCCCACTTAAACTGGATTTCATCCTTGAAATCCGTCTCGATTGCGATTTCTGAAACAAGACTAACATATTCCATAAACTCCCTCTAACCATTTCGAAATCAAGGCATCTTATAAAGAAAACTCGAGAAACCACTCGAAAACCCACAAATGTCAACAAACAACCCACTAACCTGAAGATGCTCAACCGCAACAAATTTGCTTTCTCTCTTTAACTGTATGACCCAACTTCCATAGAAAACAACACAAACCGAGAACTCTCAGAACTACAAGCACAAACCATCCTCGTCACTATACTCCCCGAAACCGGGAACCCAGTAGTCTATTCTTCAGAAACCTTACCCTAAGACTTATAATCATCGTTTTGTCGAACCTACCCCTGGTTCCTAACTAGGAACACCACCAAAACATGCTGAAAGAATACTCAAAACATACTGATCACTAATTCCTCCCAAAAACCTTAAATATACTCTTAACTTCCTGACAAGTCATCACCAACCCGCTGCCCTCACGAGCATAAGGATTGTAACGTCTTAAAAATATAGACCAAAAATTTTCATTTTTAAGTTAATAAGAACTTTATTTCAAATCATCATCATGAAAACAAAGTGGAACAAAGTGTATCGGTACATCATCATAAATCAGAGTAAATCACAAAACGTGGAATAATATGGTGTGTGTTCTGCAATCACCCCGAGCTCTTCCCCCTTGCACCAGAAGTACCTGAAACATAAGATGAAAACCGTAAGCACAAATCTTAGTGAGTTCCCCAAGATACCACATACCATACATAATAACCACATACTATGAAAAATCCCATATATGCTATGACAACCCGTAAATTCTATCTTGTAAAGTGAATCCAATCAACCAAAAGTCAGACTTAATTCTATTGCCTTTTAGCCTTGTTAAGGGTCATTCTAATGAGTTCTAAGCCTATTACACTTATGGATTGAGTGTTTTGAAGTATTAGCTAGAGATCAAAAGGCTGCACTCGAACCAGAAAATCCAACACTTGAGGTTCACGGCCGTGAACACTCTTCTAGCCGTGAACTCTTAGCATATATAGGAGTTTTTGCCATTTTTTCTTCACTTCTCCTCCTCTTGGCCGTGAACTACCCTTTCTCTCTCAAGTATCATCAAGTGAAAGCTCTCATTTCACTCCCAAAACGTAAGCATCTCATCATTTACTTGTTCATGCTTAACAACCCCTTTGTTCTAGCATTGATTCATCACCTTTCATCACCATCTTCAAGATCTTGAAGGGTTTACGGCCGTAAACCCTTCATGAGGGCCGTAAACCCTTCAAAGGATCTTGACATGGCCGTGAACCATACTTCCTTGGCCGTAAACCCTTCAAAGGATCTTGACATGGCCGTGAACCATCCTTCCTTGGCCGTAAACCCTTCAAAGGATCAAACCTAGGGTCGTAAACACTTCATGTGTGGCCGTAAACTCTCCTTGGCCGTGAACACACCCTTGTGTGGCCATAAACTCCTTTCATACAATCATATGTGATTGTAACACTTCATTACAAGTGTTTCCTAGTACCTAAGGTTGTTTCCTTGCATGTTAGTTGTTTTAAACACTAATTACAAGCCTATATATGTCATTTAGGACTCGTTTGTGTCTCGGGAATTCATTCGTGGAACTTCTCATCCTTACGCGAATCTTCAATTGAATCACCCACATAAGGTGAGTTCATACCCATGTAATCAATCTTTTAAATGTTTTTAAATGCTTTTAAGGGGGGAATACAAGTTGAACACAATGATATTGTGTAAATGTTTATATGTGATAACCATCACATTAAAGGATTTCTTATGCTTTTGTAAGTAATCAAAACAAATCAAAAACTCTTTTTAAAGATATTAGTTTGTTGTTTATCAAACTTAATTCCTAAAGTGCATGCTTAAACTCAGTAGGTAATTGAGTCTTTTCTATAAGCCAGTAATAGTTCAAAACAAACATACTAGTAAACTACAATAGGTATAGTTTAGGGGTTCAGTTCATACTATAACTAGAACAGGGAGGAAC